GGCAAAAAATCGTTCTGAAAGTGATTCCAACGATATCGTTTCTCTTTGTCTTTATCGTAGCTATTGAGTGATATCATCTGAAAAGACGAGGCGGATGTGAACTGTTCAACCCTGAGCGAATCAGGACAGCCTTTTTGGATCGCTTTGGACTTTTGATGCACCTTTAGAAGGCACCCAGAGAGAGACTTTGGTTTTGGATTAAAACCCAGGGGAACTAAGCACAACAAACTAGAGACTGCAAAGACAGAGACTTTCAGAAAATGAACTTGGAGTCACAGACGTTGAAATTCTGATTCTATGACCTTTTAAAGGAGCATCTATCACGACTTTATTTGTGTATCAAAATGTATTTTCTCCAGCAAATATCTGTATCATATTTTTGTAACTGCCAGTTTTCTATCAACACTGATCTTCTCTTGTATATGCCGTAGAATGAACGAGAACAACAAAACACAATCTGCAGTAACTGATACTAATAAAGTGAATACATTTTGTTGTGTTTGTTTGACAGACAACTGTCCCAACGATCAGTATGATTATGTGCATTCATTACACCGTGTTCTAACCAGGAGCATTGTGATAAATTTAATCTCTTCTATGTCTCTTCCTATCTGAATTTTCTCTCAACCAACTGCAAACACAGCAAGCGATGAGAGACAATAAATTTTTTATAGTCTACTTCAAATATATGTTTCAGGTGAACTTATTAAGGAGATGAATGCAGCCACAATGTCCTGTTTGCTATTTTGGGAGCAAACTGTGGATTTAGATGATAACTAAGCTAATTGATATTGATCACACATGGTTGTAATTATAAATGTTAAATGTAGTTTCTATGTATCTGTGTAATATTGATGACACATAGTGATATATTTAATCACTTTAAGGCCTGTTCACACCAAGAACGATAACTATAAAGATAAATATAAAGATAACGATATTAGCGTCCTCACCAGCGGACGATATCGTCTGTTTATTCTAAGCGCACGCGCGTCTGCCGCTTTAAATTCTCGAGCTCGTTATAGCAGGATGGATTCTGATTGGCTGTCAATATTTTTAGCGTTCATCAGCTGGCAAAAAATCGTTCTGAAAGTGATTCCAACGATATCGTTTCTCTGTGCCTTTATCGTTATAGTTGTGGCGTGGACTCTGCTATTCTTTAATATTGAGAACGATATCTTTATCGTTATCTTTATAGTTATCGTCCTTGGTGTGAACGGGCCTTTATTGTTTACAAAATGTCAAATACGAAATCACATTTTTTAGGGAAAATATTTCAAATTTTTTTTTAATCAGGTTTAATTCTTTTAGACTTGTATGTAACCAAAAGCTAAACTATAAATATGAAACTGCTATGTTGGATCTCATTTCTTTAGCCCTGTATTTTTGAAATCATCATATAATGGCTCCTCATTATGCCGAGTTCACACTGCACGATTTTCAAAGACGTCGCATCACTGTTGGTTTCACACTGAACGACTATCTGGGGTAGCATTCAGTTGTTGCTGTGTTCACACTGCTCGATGGAACGAGACAGGAGGTTACACACTGCATGACCTTACAATAGGAAGAATCGCCGACAGCTCTGTCTGGTGCAGGGTTGCCAGGTTTTCGCTACAAAACCCACCCAATTACTACTCAAAACTAGCCTGAAAATAGCCCAATTGCTTTCTATTAAAATACTGATATTCTGGTCTATAACTCCTCCCCGAACTTCCCTCTGCCCTGTATCTTGGTCTCTCATTGGCTGTAGGTCATCGCCGATGTGTTTTTCAGTCAGAACTCATTTCACACAGCGTGATTGTGAATCGATTGGGGGATTCCCTCAGATCGCGTCTTTGATAATTCACAATGCGTGATTGTCACTCACGTGAACGAGCACCGATTTGCCTCCGATTTCGGGCATTTGTCGGCGATTTCGCAAAACCTGTCGGCGAGTGAAAAATCGGGCTAAAATCGTGCAGTGTGAACTCTGCATTAGTCACATGGGATTTAGGGCTCAGATGACTGGCTCAAAACAAGACATTTCCTGTTCCAGCTGACCCTTTAAAGGGTTAGTTCACCCAAAAATGAAAATTACCCCATGATTTACTTACCCTCAAGCCATCCTAGATGTATATGACTAGGGTTGGGTATCGAAAACCGGTTCCATTTTAGAACCGGTTCCAAATTTCCAAGAACCGGGTATTCGCTAAGACGCATGCATTTCGAATCTGCTTAACGATTCCTGCGTTCGCATTTTAATGTGATTAAAAATGATTTAAGTGCAGGAACGGAAAGAACTTGCGCCCTGTTTGCGTGCAGCCACACGAAGCACAAGCGCGAGCACAGAGAACAGAGGTTGCGGTACGGGTTCCCGGTTTGTTTCCGTTCTCGAACCGTTCCGTGTATTTCCACTGTAGAAAAGGTTGTTCCGGGCCGAAACTGACTTTCATATTTGTCGACCAATATGCAGAAAACTACGTCAGTATATCATCATAAACACAGCCGTTTTTGTCTTACGTGAACGTAAACAGATGAGAAAGAAAACACACATGTACAGTATTTTTTTAATCTGCGTGCATTCGGTGTTAAAGAGACAGCAGCCTAATAAACGCGCTGCCTGTCATTAATGTTAATCAAAGAACAAAAGAAAATCATTCACTGATCTTGACTGAATATATTTAATAACTTTAATTGATTAATCTATATTTTAGAAGTCGTGGCCTAATGGTTAGAGAGTCGGACTTGTAACCCAAGTTTTGTTTACAGCAAAGGAAAACCAGTGTCCTCTTGGCTTATATTGAAATCCTCCGACATTTTTCTTCACAAATCCTCGTTTTGTACTACTAATTTGTGACCGGTGTTTTGTTTTGCTGTCTCCTCTGCGCTTCCACGTTCATCACTTCCACATTCGTCACCGCATTTGCCTACGTGCTACGTCATCCGCTGGACGCCACTCAGTTAGCGGAAGCTAGAGATTAAGGTTTATAAAGTTGTAAATATGGATATTTTTCTTACACAAACGCATCGCGTCAAAGCCTTTAGAAGAAGGCCTTTATTAACCCCCCGGAGCCGTGGGGACTTCTTTTATAATGGATTGGTTCAATTTTTGGACTTCAAATTTTGGGCTACCATCCACTCCCATTATAAAGCTTGGAAAAGCCAGGATGTTTTTTAATATAACTCTGATTGTATTCGTCTGAAAGAAGAATGTCATATACACCTAGGATGGCTTGAGGGTGAGTAAATCATGGGGTAATTTTAATTTTTGGATGAACTATCCCTTTAAGAGGAAGGGGTTTTATACTGCAATGTTTTATGTGTCCTATTGGGGGCAAAATTAGCTTAGTGCCAAGTTTCGACTGTTCAAAAGTTTAGGGTTAGTAAAAGTTTTTTTTTTTTTTTTGGTTTACTTTTATTCAGCAGGTAATGCATTAGGATATTAAAATGTTATATTAGGATATTGTATATTAGGATATATATTGTATTAGGATATAAAAAATGTTTTTTTAAGAACCAAATCAACATATTAAAATGATTTCTGAAGGATCATGTGACAGCTGGAGTAATGGCTGATGAAAACTTACCTTAGTCATCACAGGATTAAATTACAGTAAATATATTACAATAGAAAGCAGTTATTTTAAATTGTTTTTAGAAAATATTTGCAGACTTGGTGAGCATAAGAGAGACAAAAACATTAAAAAAAAAAAATCTTACCAACCCCAAACTTTTGAATGGTATTGTAAATACTACCATTTTGAACATCTAGAATCATTCATCTGAAGATTTGAGTTCTTTGAGATGATGGCCTGCTTTAAAAACTTGCGTTTGAATGTTCATTGGTTCAGAAATGACAAAAACCCCAGTTAACATGCTGAAAGACATCTTTGAGACTATTTATCATATTTGTGTATAAGCACCTGAGAAACACGAGCGAATTCACAAATAAATCAGTTTAATGTTGTAGTAACATCTGCCAGGGAACGTTTGAAAAAAGTGGTTCAGATGTGCAAACACTCGAAATGTGACATGTTCCAGATGAAAACTGTCATATCGAACAGACGTCACATTGACGTGCGTGCATGTCAGGGACTGAACATCAAGCAGAAAACCTCTCACAAGGTCGTTCTGAAGAAATTCTAAAAAATTTGAAGCACATGACAAAATTATAAAAGCATTGAAATCAGATGGTTTCATAGATATTTACTGATTTCATGGAAGAATCTCATTTACACATCCATGTAATCTTGAATTACATTAGTCCCTCTAAATAATATGAGGATCGTTGCTTGGCCCTGCTTTAAAACATTTGGATTCCTTTGATCAAGAGCTAAATGTCTGTCTTGCAACCACAAGACTGGAAAAAAAAGCTATTTTGTTATCTACAAAAGAAAATTATGACTTAAAGGGTTAGTTCACCCAAAAATGAAAATTCTGTCATTAAGTACTCACCCTCGTGTTGTTCCAAACCCGTAAGACCTTCGTTCATCTTCGGAACACAATTAAAGATATTTTTGATGAAATCTGAGGGGTCTCTGACCCTCCCATAGACAGCAAGGTAACTACCACGTTCAAGGTCCAGAAAAGTACAAAGATGATCGACAAAGTAGTCCGTGTAACATCAGTGGTTCAACTGTAAAGTTACAAAGCTACGAGAATACTTTTTTGCGCAAAGAAAACAAAAATAACGACTTTATTCCACATTTTCGTCTCTACTGCGTCACTTGTGAACGTGCCGCCACACACTCGCGTCATGATACTGTCGTGAACGCGCATCCACAAGTGACGCAGTAATGTGGAATAAATGTGGAATAAAGTCGTTATTCTTCGTAACTTTACAGTTGAACCACTGATGTCACACAGACTACTTTGTCGATCATCTTGGTACTTTTCTGGACCTTGAACGTGGTAGTTACCTTGTTGTCAATGGAAGGATCAGAGAGCCCTCAGATTCCATCAAAAATATCTTAAATTGTGTTCCGAAGATGAACGAAGGTCTTACGGGTTTGGAACAACACGAGGGTGAGTACTTAATGACAGAATTTGCATTTTTGGGTGAACTAACCCTTTAAGAGTAACCATCACATTGAAATGAGAAGTTTGGAGGCTTTCCTAACTGTGAAAGGAACAGACCAAGAATTCCGGGACCCCTGGCTACCACCAGGTGCTAAATGTGGTACCTCTCACTCAAGGCACGTTGTGGCTGCTGTAGCTCTACTGGAATGATGGACCTCAGTTCTGATGGGAACACTACAGACTCTCACACAGACAAACCCAAAACCAGTTGGGTCACTCATACTTTCACATACGGATACATGAGCTTGTGGACACAGGTAAACGTTTGCTGGTCCATTGCTCTTAAACAGTGCGCGGTGAACTGTACAGTATGTGCTGTACAGACAATGCGTCCTAGAATAAAAAAGGCCCTATGACATTCGGTTTTACAGTATTCTGATTCAGTATTTACATGTAACAACTGTTCGGCTAGTCACCATATCGCTTGATACTCAAGTGCCACATTTGTATTATTAGTACATATACACAACAAAACAATTGCATACCCAAAAAAATAAGTAAAAACAAACACAAAGTAGTGCAATAAATGTAAAAAATGATGCCAATACATTTGGTCCGAGGGTCTGGAGGGGAAAAAAGACCACCAGACAATACTGTACAAAAAACTTGATTGGAAATGACGTTGTATATTGATATTTACAGATTTGTGTAAAGAATGCATTCTTAAAACATCCCGACAATCTTGATCTGAGAGTAACGGAGAGAAGAGAAGTGCACAGATTCCTTCACCTGCTTTGAGTTGTTTCTTTATCAATGTGTGTGTGATCAGATGAGTATTTCCACCATCTCGCTGTCCACGTCCTGCGCTGGGAGCGACTGCACAGGCGCTCTCCTCTCTAATGTACTGCTGTGAAACACATCTGTAGAGACAAAGAAACATGCAGATGTTTATGGGTCAATGGTGAAAAAGAGTGTCCAAGATTTAAAAAAAAAAAAAAAAAAAAAAACCTTAAAATGGACAAATCTTTTAAAAAGCTAGTTTAAAACGTGCCATATTCTAAGAAATGTACTCTTTGTATTCATGTTGGTTTCTTATGGTTTTGGGAAAAAAAAAAAGTTTAAATTTAATGACTCCAAAAACGTCATGTTATGTAACCTTATTTTCCTTGAATACATGTGTATATATATATATATATATATATATGCACACATATACAAACTACAGAATTTTTTTGCATAACTGTTGCATAACTCTAATAATTTCTACTTTATGCCCCATAAAAATATCAAAATATATTATAATTCAGAAATGAAAAACATACTCATGTAGAAGTGTATTCAAGTTATTATATGTAAGAATTGCATGTCTGTTGAATAAATTATTAAATCTGGATTTAAAAAAAAGTCATGTGATTGACAATTTTATCACATTTTCTTTATCAATTTGATAAACTTTCTATTGCGCTGTTCTCACCAGTTGCCATTCAACTATTCATTAGTGGTTTCTGGGTTAGTTTGTCATTATAAAAAAAATTTGAAGAAAACACTGGTTTATTATCTGTAATATGTGATTTTGTGTGTGTGTGTGTGTGTGTGTGTATGTGTGCGCGTGAGCTGTACCAGCGATGCGGTCAGGTATGTAGACTGGGCTCGGGCTGCTGATCCGGCTTGGTCCGGATACGCTCTGCAGGGCGGGTGTGCTCGGCTTGCTGGCCTCCTGACCCTTTTCCGTCTGGGTGCAGCTGTCTCTGCTGCCGGTCTTTGAGTGTGCGGCGGCTGGCAGGACTGGAGATGGAGAGGAGGAGATGGACTCTGTCCTCAGAGAGTCACCTCTGAACTCTGGGCCCAACAGAACACCTTGAACATGAAGAGCGCGAACAATTCAGACATGAATAGATGGAAGAGATACATTAATACTTTATAGTACATTGTATTATATTATGGCTGCAAATAGAGCTTTGGTGATAGATAAGTGAATATTTAATTACTACACTACTAATTTGTGGTAGTGTAAGTGGAAGAAATTGGTCAAAAATGTACATTTACACAAACTGACCACCAACCACAACTTTCAGACACCATCTTTATTTTTTTAGCTTAACTGTCACCAAATCAAACGCACAGGATAGTGAGATATTATAGGCAGTGAATGATACATCTATGCTGCCTTGAATAATCGATCAGATAAAAGTATCTCAGCAGACAGGATGTGACACGATCATTGGATTCGAATGTGCCTTTGTTGCCTTCCTACCTCTGTATGCTGCCTGCAGAGGCAACATTTCTCAACTTTCAGACTCAGCCCAAGTTATGTTACATTGCAAATTTTATAATATTTTTTAATATAAAATTCTAATAATTTTATATATAAAAAATAATTCTATACATATGAAGAGTTCAGATGCTAAAGCCTCTAATTGCCATCTGAAATTTCTAAAATTAGAATTTTTATCAGGCTCCTATATTTATGTTCAGTTATTTCACTTTCATGGCATAGGGACCCATACATACACTGCCATTCAAGTAAAATTACTGAACCTAAACATAAGAGCCTGATAAAAATGCAAATTTTAGAAGAAAATTTCAGACGGCACTAAGAGGCTTTTGCATCTGAACTCTTCATATATATATATATATATATATATATATATGGGTGCTGTGTGTACATTAATGAGGAAAAAAAATTAACTTAAATGATTTTAGCAAATGGCTGCAATATAACAAAGAGTGAAAAATTTAAGGGGGTCTGAATACTTTCCGTACCCACTGTGTATATATATATATATATATATATATATATATATGTACGTATGTGTGTGTGTGTGTACATAAACTTTATTTAATTTTTATTTCAGCTAGGAGGTTGAAATAACACTAAATTCAGAGCTGTACTTCATCACTCTCTAATGTTTTATGAATCTGGGCATTTCTGAAACATTCAAAAAAATTGTCTGAGACTTACACAGGTCTCAGGTTTATATTTTTAAATACTGCCAATATTCCTACCAGAAAGCAAATTTCATTTTGACATATTCATGATGTGCGATGCTGGCATGTTGGGAGATTCAAATGTTAATGTTTCAATCAAACATTTTATTTTGATAAAATTTAGAGCATGAGATGCTGTTTTGTTGATTTAACACTTTTAGTAAAAACACGTATTATTTTATTACTTCTTTGGCTAATTTACTACTGGGTAGGGGTGGGCGATATAGCAAAAATACCATATCACGATTTTTTTTCATTAAAATCACGATTTTATCACAATTCTTTGTCATGTTGGTTTGACTATTTTGCAAGTTGTCTGAGCAGTACAGCCAAACTAATTTCCCTATTTTAATAGCAAAGCCTTAACAAGCTAACAAAATAGAAAATAGAAAAGAATGGCAGACATTTAGGCCAAAGTGGGTGAAGATAGGAATCTTTGTAATTTATCTTTGTTATTAAAAAATAAGAACAAAGATACACATTACAGTTACAAAACAGTGTTTTGTTTTTCAGGTACAGTAGGTGTATTTAGCAGTGGCACTCGAGAAATTGAATGAACAAATATAAAAATAAAACAGTATACACGTCACTGTATAAATGATACTTTGATTCTTATTAAAGCAACTGTATTAAAGTTTTTCAGTCAAGAACAGTGAGTGATTTTTGGAACGTCACTTCCTGTTTGTTGCTGCCGCGTGTTTTGAGTTTGAACTCCGTCAAGTTCATTCTTTATCGTCTATTTTTTCTTCTTGTCTTGTTTTATCAACATTAGATGAATAGTTCAACGAAAAATGAAAATTCTGTCATCATTTACTCACTCTCATGTTGATTTAACCTCCTGAGACCCTGCATCCTCATATAAGGATTAATATTATATTATATTTTAGTGAATTTCTCTGAGACTATACATGCCACAGTTTTAAGTCAGGATGTCCTGTACAGAGCACATTCAGGGCTTTTCAGAGATACTAAATGTTTGGATGTTTCACCATGACCACTCCCTCTCCTTGGTCTTCAAAAATGTCTGATATTAATTTAGTGACCCTTTATGGAAATATGATAATATTTTGTAATTATCATTTAAATCTGACTAATTTTTAAACTGTGTGTCATAAATCAACATCTCAGGAAAATGTTATGGGGTTTCAAATCAAAATATGACTTTCTGTTACGAAACAGGACGTTGATTTCATACATGTCCTCATATGAGGACACCGGGACTAAAAGCATGTTTATTACGCATTTTGGGAGAGACAACAGATGAATAAGGAAAGAAATTATATTTGAATATTCCTATGAAATATTATATATTATTATGAAAATCTTGTCAAAAAATGGTATATCAAATCATTCTGTTATAACATAGTTGAGAATTATCTTTATACAAAGTCTGGTAAAAAAAATCCTGAAAACTAAAAATGTATTGGTGATTTAAAAAAAAAAAAATCAATCGTTTTTGCCTATGCATTTTCATTAATGTCTTTTTCTTATTTTTTTTTTTTTATTGAGTCCCGATGTCCTCTACCAAGGACGTAGCATAACTTATGAATGAAATATCTTTTTTTAATATATAT